GGTCCAGCGGGTTGTGGGGTCCAGCGGGTTGTGTGGTCCAGCTGGTTGTGGGGTCCAGCGAGTTATGGGGTCCAGCGGGTTGTGGGGTTCAATGATTTATGGGGTTCAATGGGTTGTTGGATTCAATGGGTTATGGGGTTCAACGGGTTGTGGTGATGATGAGATGAGTTCGTGAGTCAGAATTCGTACAATATTAGTTACAATATTGTCACAATTTGTACAATATTACCCAATCATTTCCATGAGTGCAGCTGCAGAACCCGTTCACCCTAACCCCCTCCTTAAGTGTGTCACACCAGAAGATGCTTCACACTAGAAGGTGTCACAATATTTGTACAATTGACCCATATATTTCCGTGAGTGCAGCTGCAGAACCCGTTCACGGAGAAGCCGCCCTACAAGTACGGGACGGTCCCCCAGACCAACGCTGCGTCCGTCATCCGCAAGCATCACCCGACCATGTGGGACTACATGGGCACCCAGCGCACCATGAAGAACAGCGTCAAGGAGGGCATCCGTGCCATCAAGAACAAGTGGGTCATTAGAGAGTGGGTCATTAGAGAGTGGGTCATTAGAGAGTGGGTCATTAGAGAGTGGGTCATGTGGGACTACATGGGCACCCAGCGCACCATGAAGAACAGCGTCAAGGAGGGCATCCGCGCCATCAAGAACAAGTGGGTCATTAGAGAGTGGGTCATGCATTAGAGAGCGGTCATGAGAAAATGGTCCACGAGAGAGTGGGTAAAAACAAAGTGGGTCACGAGAAAGTGGGTCGCAAGAAAGTGGGTCACAAGAAAGTGGGTCACAAGAAAGTGGGTAATTACAAAGTGGGTAATGACAAAGTGGGTAATTACAAAGTGGTTCACGAGAGGGTGGGTCACGAGTCTTACACCACTCCCCCCTCAGGGAGCTGGACGCGTTCATCTACGACGCGACGGTGCTGGACTACTGGGTGGGTCAGGACGAGGACTGCCAGATCCTGACGGTGGGGTCCTGGTACGCCCTCACGGGGTACGGCCTCGCCTTCCCCAGGGGCAGCAAGCACCTGCTGGCGTTCAACAAGCAGCTCATGATCTACAAGGAGAACGGTGGGTGACTTAAGGGCGTTTTATGGGCGTTTCATGAATGCTTTATGGGTGTTTTAGTGGCGTTTCATTGGTGTATTATGGGCGTTTTAGTGGCGTTTGTTGGGTGTAATATAGACGTTTTAGAGGTGCCTTTTGGCATGATCTTCGAAGAAACGATTGGGTCCTTAAAGACGTGACAGGGTCGTTTTAGGGACGTTTTAAGGGTGTTTTAGAGGCGTACTAGGGCCGGTTTGGTATCGTTTTATGGGTATTTTATGGACGTTTCAGAGGCGTTTTTTGGCATGATCTGCAAAGAAACGTTGGTGGCCTTAAAGGCGTGCCAGGGGCGTTTTAAGGGTGTTTTAGAGGCGTGCTAGGGTCGGTTTGGGGGTGTTTTAGTGGCGTTTCATGGGTGTTTTATGGACGTTTTAGAAGCGCTTTTGGGTTTAATCTTCAATGAAACGGTGGTGTCTTTAGAGGCGTGCCAGGGGCGTTTTAAGGGTGTGTTAAGCGCGTTTCAGGGATGGGTGTATTATGGACGTATCATGGGTGTATTATGGACGTTTTAGAGGCATCTTCTAGCATGACCTTCAAATTAATGGTGGGGTCCTTAGAGGCGTGCTAGAGGCGTTCCAGGAATGTTCTAAGGGTGTGTTAAGCGCGTTTCAGAGATGTTTAAGAGTGTTTTAGAGGCATGCCAGTGACGTTTCAGAGACGTGTTAAGAGGTTTTCACGGACGTTTTAAGGGTGTTTTAGGAACGTTTTGAGGGCGCGCCTACAGAGATACACGCTCATGTTGAATTAATTAAATAATGCAAAAGTGACTATAAATGCATTACCCAATGAAAATTTACAGACGCGTCAGCTTCTGATTTGGAGTACCAGTAGCTGGGGCGACTCTAAACCAGAAGCTGGGGCGACTCTAAACCAGAAGCTGGGGCGACTCTAAACCAGAAGCTGGGGCGACTCTAAACCAGAAGCTGGGGCGACTCTAAACC